ATCACGAAGTGATACTGAATTCCCCCCAGTATCCCAGTATCCCGAATCAAATCGTGATAACGGGATTAGGGATTAGGGATTAGGGTTTAGCTTTACCCTTACAAATTTCACTTTATCATGGAGCGCAGAATAGATTTTTTTCTACTAGTTTAAATACATGTGAAAGTACTAATGAAGGTTTAAGTAAGTCACCTGTCCCATCAGTTGAAGAAAAGTTAACTAGCCAAGCATTAGATAATTCTGATCCATATTTTACTGTAATTCTTAACGGTAAACAAAATACGGTTTCCGGTGATTTCATAGAATGGTTTAGAGGTTTTACAGATGCCGAAGGTTGTTTCCTGATAACTAAAACAGGTAACACTTTTGCATTTATGTTTTTAATCAAATTACACATAGATGATGCTTCTGTATTAGATTTCATTCAAAATAACTTAGGTATGGGTAAAGTTACTATTACCAATCTTCCGTTATTTTTGCAATAACTTCCCAAAAAGAAATTAAATTTCTTTTAGATTTTTTCACTAGATATTCTTTAAATACAACAAAGCACCTTAATTTTTTAGTATTTAAAAAGGGTTTCGAACTTTATGTAAATTCGAAGTTTAAAACTCCGGAACTTGCATTAGAAATCGAAAATCTTAAAAAGGCTATGAATAGTAAAAGAACAGATCTTTAAATGCCAAAATCTCATCAAATTCTTATAACATCTCACTGGCTTTTAGGATTTGTCGAAGGTGATGGTAGTTTTAGGGTTATAAAAGCAGATAATATTTTAATGTTTTCCTAGGAAATCCCCCGCGACCAAAAGGTAATTTAGTTTTGATGGAGACAATTAAAAGTTTCTTATTTGACTTAGCTAAATCTAAATGCTTAAAAGAGGGTTATGTTTATGTTACTAAAATTAAGAACACTTCTCCTGAAGCCGTTTATATTTTATCTGTTAAAAATAAGGATCTTGTAGAAAAAGTATTAATCCCTTTTTTCGACTCTATGATCTGACATAGTAAGAAACAATTAGATTATTCAGACTGAAAATTTGTATTTAAAATTAAACAATTAGGATTGCACTATACAAAGCCAGGAGAAGATTTAATAGGTTTTATTTTAAGTAGAATGAACAATAATAGACTAACTATTAGCAAAGAAGGGATTGAGTCTATGAAAACAGTTAGAAGTTTTAGTCCATCAGAAATTGACAAAATAATGAGTGGGCCTTCTAATTATGAAAGACAAGAAGATGGTAAAATCTTAATAAAATCTTCTAATAAAAACAGTTTTAGCTGAAAAAATATCGAAGTGGAGCTTAGAGACCCTCAAGGTTTCATATTTAAAACTTTTAAATCTATAACTAATTGTGAAAAATTCCTAGGGGTAAGTTCTCATACAATAACTAAAAGAATTAAAACCAATAAATCAGTATTTTTTAACGATAGAGAATACTATGTAAAAATTAATGAATAATAGTAATATAGGCAGGTTAAGATCTTTAGATGTAATGCTATTACAAGAGGCTATAACTTAATTGGTAAAGTGTACTGCTCATAACGGTAAAAATAAGTGTTCAAGTCACTTTAGCCTTATAAATATATATCGAATATTCTTATATTTTATAGTCCGAGTGGTGAAATTGGTATACACGACAAGCTTAAGTTTTGTTAACGAAAGTTGTGGAGGTTCGACCCCTTCCTCGGATAATCTTATCCATCATAGATAATGGG